CCCCAGCTCACCTCTGCTCTGCCTCCTCCCCGAGCACGCTGCCCCTGCTCTAATTCTCCCCTCCCAGGCTTGCGGCGCCAAACAGCTGATTGGTGCCGCAAGCCTGGAAGGCTGGAGAAGTGGAGCGGCGACCGTGCGGCAGCCCAGCCCAGCCCAGCCATGCTATATAAAAAAAAAAAATGGGGGCACCGCTTTTTGGCGCCCCCAAATCTTGGCGCCCTAGGCAACCACCTAGTTTGCCTAAATGGTAGCACCGGCCCTGGTCAGTGCTAACGAGCCAATTCAATTAAGGTGGAAGTGGCCTATTCTCAACAGTTGACAAGAAGGTGTGAGTATCAGCAGAAGGAAAATTATTTTTTGTAGTGACCCATCCACTCCCAATCTTTATTCAGAGTCTGTTTTTGAAGTTTTTTTGTCGAAGAATTGCCACCAACAAGAAATTGCAGAACTGGAATTAATTTGCAAACTTGACAGCATCAAATTAGGCCTGAATAAAGACTGGGAGCGGCTGGGTCACTACAAAAAGTAATTTTCCCTCTGTTGATACTCACACCTTCTTGTCAACTGTTGGGAATGGGCGACATCCACCCTGATTGAATTGGCCTCGTTAGCACTACAAAAGTAATTTTCCCTCCCTTGGTATTCACCACTTCTTGTCAACTGTTGAGAACAGGCCACTTCCACCTTAATTGAATTGGCTTTTTTTCCCCCAATGAAGCATGTATGCACGCAGTGTAGATTTTGGTGGTGTTTTTTGCGTACCATTGGTTCTCAGGGATAGAGCAAAGTTTGGGAACCAATTTAAGATGTTATCAAATTATTTTAATATTATATTGGTTGATTGAATTTGTACATTGGATGGCTTTTTTGGTGTAGAATTTAGTGACTGAAATCCTCTGAATTTACTGTAGGGCCCAGATATAAAATAATGTATTGCTCATTTTGGGAGAGGGGGGGTAGGGGGAGGAAGGAATGTTGTTTTTTTTTCCCCTGAAGTTGACTTGTAGAGCCTATGGGTGAAATTTTGACCCCACTGAGCTCAATGGCAAAACTTCCATTGAGTTCAGTGAAGCCAGCCTTTCACCTTGTAGCCTGTTCTTAATAAATTTACATACCTTTGGTGAGAGTCTAATCAGATGATTTTCCTAGAGCAGACATTTTATCGCCATTGTTTAGTGGGAGTCCTTTGGTTGGTTACTGGTGTATATATATAGCTGGACAAGGTAGGGACGGCCTCTGTTGTACAGGACCAGCACAATGGTGTGCCAGTCATGACTGGAGACTTTGTGTGTCACTAAACTGCCTGTTATTAAACTTTTGATTATATTGAAAAGGGAGGGCTGGGGTTTTTGATGGTGTCTCATGCTTTCTTGTTGGGAATATTTTTTCAGTGGCATGGTAAATGCCTTCCCACCAATTTCCTCTAGCATACTTTGTTTTTTTCAAACTTAGTATCATGTTCGAAGCATTAGCCCTCTGTTAATCAAATAGGACTGTTTAGTCATTACAGAGAGTAGTTCAAGGCAGCAGTATGTTTGGTGGGCAGTCCCTAAATTAAAACTGGGTTCCCAGGGGTCTTGTTTGTAAAGACTTCTCATGTTCCATTGTGTCACTGACTTCAGAAGTGGGTTGAATGCAGCAAGGGTCACTTGAAGGTTTAAACTAGTGTAAATGGTGGAGTCTCTGTAACTTGATGTCTTTAAAACCATGATTTGAGGACTTTAATAGACCCCCTAACTGCTGGCAGAGTTACTGAAGGCACAGGGGGTGAGGTTCTGGCCTGCAATGTGCAGGTGGTCAGACTAGATGATCATGTTGATCCCTTCTGACCTTAGAGTCTGAGTCTATAAGTGACAGCATAAAAAAAAATGGACTGTTCTTCTAAGCCCTTTGCCCTGGGGGTGAAATCCTGGCCTCACTGAAGTTAGTGGAAAAATTCATTAACTTCACTGGGGCTAGGATTTTAGGCAGGAACTCTAAGAGCATTGTCTCTGACAAATGATTGTTTTACTGAGTATATGGCAGCACTACTGTCATTCTAAGTACCAGGTCATACCATGCAAAATGAGGGCCTGTCATTAGTTGCAAGTCTAGGCTTTCCAGACTCTTCATTAGGGATGATTTTTTAGATGCAGAAGAGCTTGCTCTTGGGATAGTTTTAGATGATATTGATGTACCTTTCTTAGATGCTTTTTGGGCACTTTATCTACTCAGTGGTGATTTTTCAAGGGACCCACATTTTGCTATGCAACACATGATGAAATATACAGAAAGGTACTTTCCAATCGATTGAATTAGACTTTCATAACTGGGATTCTGCCAGTTGCAAATACTTTATATTAGGGGAGGGGCACATTTGTGGTGGTACTTGACAGAGTTGGAAAATCAGTGCAGTCTAGGTTTGAGAGGCTTCACATTTGATTTTAGAGGGGCATTAAGGTAAGTAGTGTGACAGGAAATGAAATGGAGTGGGAACAGAATCCATGTCTCACTTCTATGGGGCTTGCTTTCCTAGCTGTGAGAGGGGGATGGGTACCCCACTGTGAAAATGCTGATTGATTATAGAGGCTTCTTTCTGCTAACACTTTCCACATGCCACTTTAATCATTGCAATTTTCTTTAGCTGCATCAGTCTTTAGAAGACCTGTGACTATCATAACTGAGTCACGTCTCACTGTGCTACCTTTTTACTGATATGCCTTTGGCTTAGGGAATTAAACTTCTTTGTGAATGCATAGAAAAGCAGGAGACATTGTGTGGAAGTTCTCCGGTGTGTAAACTTACGGTGCTGTTCTATTAACACTGTAAAAGGTACCTTTTTAAGTCTGTCATGAATTGCAAAATGGCATGCAAGCCTAATTAGGCTCAGTTTTTTACCATAGTAAGATTCTTCAAGCAGGGCCTAAGGTGTGCATAAAGCAAGTGAGAGGCATGCGGTTAATTTGTTCTCAAGCTGGTGGGGTTCACAAAATGACCCAGTCTTTCAACTCTGCCTCTTGCTCTTAAGGGGTCACACATGCACTAAGTAGGACTGCATTTCTTCAACCTGCTGCTGTATATGGAAGGAGCCATAGCCATTAATTTTAAATGAGAGACTAGATTGCCTATGCCAACCTCTTGCCCTCTCCCCCCCCAAAAAAATCACTGATGCATGGTAGCTCCACACTGACATTCATTGAGCTCCCCACCAACCTTTAAACAGTAGGAACAGTATTTGTGAACACCCAGGAATAACTCAGTTACTGCTGTCTTTGAAGTACATTCTCATTAAATGGAGGTTTCTGGTGATTATAGGGTTACTATATCTAGCAAATAAAAAAAAAGGACCCTCCACAGGCCCCGCCCCTGCCCTAACTCTGCCCCCTCCCAGCCATGAGGAAAGGGCTGCCTGAGCGCTACCGGTTTCACGGTTTGCCAGGCAGCCTCCAGACCCGGCGCTTCCCCAGCGCAGCTGGAGCCCGGGAGGGGAAGCGCCCAGCTGGGGGCGCAGGGTCTGGCGGCTGCCCGGCAAACCGTGAAGCCGGTAGCGCTTGGGCTTCAGGCAGCCCCCAGCCAGGCACTTCCCTCCCGGGCTCCGGCGGTGCAGGGTCCGGAGGCATGGGGGCTGCCCGAAGCTGGTAGCACTCGGGCAGCCCGGCTCTTAAACAGAGCCGCCATTTTCTCAGACATGTTCGGCTTTTTGGCAATTCCCCCCGGACGGGGGTTTGAGTGCCGAAAAGCCGGACATGTCCGGGAAAAAAAGAGGACGTATGGTAACTCTAGGTGATTACAATTTTGTATAAACTCAGTTATTGCTTGTGAATAAGTTTGTCCTCTACTTGTGTCTGGGCTGAAGCAGCCAATGCTGTCCAACTTTTAAACAGAAAAAATTTCAGTCACATTTTTAGAAGGGTATTTGAGACTGCCAACTCAGCCTTCAAAAGTAAAGGTGCATTAGGTGCTAAGGCAGTTTGAGGCATCAGCAGATTAACAGAAGTTGGAGTACAGGTTTGTTGGTCAGTAAGCACAACATTTTCATTTCAGCTACTCCTATCAGAAGTTAGATTAGTTAATACTGTCTAAAACACAATGTAGTAGCTCTTGCTTTTCCTAAACTCAAAGGTTTGACCTGTTTGAGAGAGGAAGCTGAAGGCTCCTCCTTCATCTAATAAAAATGGCACTGAAATCCTATTTCAAAGTGTAGGCCTGCATTTTAAAGTTCTATAAGTAAAATAAATAGGCCTGGAATGATAAGATTGTCAGTAAATTATGATGAAATCAACACTTAGAACCAAGTTCTGATTCAAGGATATTTACTTTGTAAATTTTGATGTGATGTTGATTTGGGTTTTAAAGCTTTGACAGAGGTTGATATTCAAAAAGTTAATGTCTGACCTTTCCATAATTCCCAGCCCTGCTAAAAACAATCACTGCCCATCAAAGCTATAGAAAAAGAGTACATACAGCTATAGCAAAGTCAGGTCCTGACGTGCTAACTGCAGGAACTCTCAAGGTCCCCCAGCCCTACACAGCCAGATTCCAGTGTGACCAGTACATTGACAGCCAAGATGTTTTTCTTGCAAAGCAAATACAGTTGATTAGTTTCAGAGCTCCAGCTGGATTCACACTGATGCCATTTTTAGTCACTTTGCAATGGTTAACTACCTAGAAGATGCACTGTAACATGTGTCTTTTACAGGTCCAGTACTTTTTCAAGATTCTGGACAACTGACAGCAGAACATGGAACTATCTCCAGTTCCTAAACGAAAGACAGACAAGGAGAGACGTGTTCATTCATTTATTGTCCAATGTTTTAACCTGACTGAAATACAAGAGCAAGAGCACTGTGCTCCTGGCTATTTATTACATGTTAGAACATAGAGTTTTGCACTTTAGACAACATTTAACACCATTCTATGGGGTACTGCATTGCTTTTTATAAAGTTCAAAATAAAGATTTATTTTCAAACAAGTGACTTTGGTTTTTTCATACATTACACTTTTTCTTGCAGAAAAAATAAAATTGTACAACTGCATAAATATAAAATCTTCCACCATGAAAATGGTTAAAACATTCAGTAAAGACATTAGCACCACACCATGTGATGCTGCCAGCAGAAGAAAAAAAAAAAAAAAAAGAAAGAAGAATATACAAAGCAAATAATTATCAGTCATCAGTGGTGGGGAAAGCCTGACTCCGGTTTCACACAACATACTGGAGGATGAGGGTGGAAAGAGCATTCACTACAGAGCACAGAATACAATCACCTTTTTTATTTATTCATAAACTCAAATTAGTTTCCCCTGTTGCCCCTTCAAATAAAATATCCTTACACCACAGGAAAATAAAAAGGATCTATGGAGTGCTGTTAAATAGTCTCACAGGTGGGCCTTTATCTTTAAAAGGAAAAAAAGTAAAGTACCATGCCAGTTCTAGTCCCATTGAGTATTTACACCTCGGGCAGCAAAATCTTTGCTCACAGAAAGTAGAAAACAGATACAATACATGGCTTGAAAAATGACCAGAGTATGTACCTATAGTACTGTACACTAAATAAAATACACAAGGCAGCAATACTTAGGGGGCCAGAAACACTGCTTACTACAAGTCAGTTATGGAATCATAATTTACAGTAAAAATGGGCATGTCCCAAGGCTCAATTTTGTTTTCTTTTGTCATTTACAGTAGAATAAATATTTTGTCACTATTGCTACACTTTAAGTTTACATTCTAACCTAGTAATGCAGAAAGCTAGTGTAAAGCATATAGATTATGTGTAGGTCCCATACGTATGACAGTTTGTTCAAGACTAGTAGGTTTTTTGTTTTGTTTTTTTACTTTTTAAATGGCTAGGAGGGGAGAAAAGAAAATTGTGCTTATGATCAGCTGCTCTTTATGTCAAATTTCACTTCAAAACGTCCCTGAAAACGGTCTTTGTCACTGTAACCGATGTTCTCACCGTAGACCTTGCATTCCACACGCACTTCCGTGTCATAGGTCAGGTTAGTGAACTGCACTGCCATGAGAGGCTGGAGATATTTTGGCTGAAGCAGCTTGCCATAGTATGGATAATATTGTAGAGGAAAGCCAGCATAACCAGCCATCCCATAATATTCAATGGTGCCGATTTTGTCAACATCTTCCTCTTTCTAAAGGGGGGAGAAAAAAAAATCACTTGGACAAGCCCCATTGTAAATATTCCCACCACTGTATACCCATTCAACGCAATTATCTGAACCGTACTTGGCCATCACCATGTGACTTCTGTGCTGGATAGTGCAATTCAAACCGATTCAGTATCCCCGAGGACAGGTGCACAGTAGTAGAATGGGGGCAATTAAATAATCAATTGACATAATCCAGGATGATTTTTCCTATTTACCTGTTATTAGGGAAGTAGGTTCCACAAAAACACTCAAATTATGTCACCACAGAACTTCAAGTTGTTTTCCAGCAGCTTGGTAAGATCAGCATTATTGTTCCCTGGCCACTCATTGTTATCTACAGCAGAGGGTACAGGAAAATCCTGAATTCTAATAAGTATTCCCTCTTAGAACTGGCCCCAGAATTGACAAAGCTTGCTGTGCCTCTGGGCAGCTTAAATCTGTCCAAAAATTTTAAATTGAACAAAAAATAAATCTGCCTTTTTCAGTTAGCATCATTCTCTACAAATTCCTGCTTGAGTAAATGAATTACCCAGGGGAGAGGATACTGCTACTTGGAAGAGACCTTGCTTTTGAGGAGTACATGGCTGAAAGGATGGGGGAGGGGCGAGGAGAAGAGTCCCTTTTACTTATTTCTAGGTTACCCATCCCAGAGATCAGGTCAATGACAAACATTCAGTCATCATTAATTGTTCACGGACCTCTGTGAAACGAGTTGCCTCAATCCAGTTCCTAAGGGGAAGATATCCTTATCAAAAGAAATGGGGTGGGGGGGTCATTTGTCAGCAGAAAGGTCAAGGAGTGAATGAGCACCAAGACTTGACTCCTATCTCAGGATTGAAGCATGCTCACTTTTTAAAATATCCTTTTAAAGTCAATCTGCACCAATCTAAGAACTGGGGCCAGAGAAAGAAGCTCCTGGATAATAAACAGCGTCACGGAATGTATATGTCCTCCCACAGACATGGCTTAGAAGCCCGAGTCTCTGCTTATACAAAACTGGTATGGTGTAGGTTATGGTTTTGGCTGGCTCTGCCCTTTGTGCAATGAACTCTGGCCTGAGTTCATTGCACATTTTCAACAGTTAGCTTTGTAGGAAGTTTGATTCACAAGAGAGACTGATCACGTGTCAGGAAAGGCATGGACACTCTTTCCCACTTACCTTAGCAAAGCAATGAACAGGGAGGACATATGGATTGTATTTTCCCATCATCCCAGGAGGGAGGCTGTCATTTGTTGGAGGCTAAAAGAAACCCAGAACAAGCAAGTGTTAGATTGTCCAGTGTGAAATGTCTGCTCTTCAGACTAACTCCATTGAAAACACGCACATTGATTAGTTTCCAGCATGTCTTCCTGAAGTTCAGAACTGTGCCAACAAGTGGCCCCATCCTTGTGTGTCAAAGTCCCGGGGGGAGGTGGGGCGGGGGAGGAGAACTACTGGCAGATTCATTGGGAGAAGCCAGATTTGCTTCTAGGTCAAAGTTTCAAAGCCAGCTCAGGTTGGCAATGATTTTCAGTCATTACTGTGAGCAAGTTAAATGGCCATGGAAGCCACTAATTCACCAGCAGTAATCAATCTGCCAACAAGAGAAGCTCTACAGGCGACTTTAAAAAAAAAATAAAATAATTAATAATCATCATCCTCCTCCTGTTAGTGAATTTAGTAAAAGATAAGGCTTGACAGCCCGAGGGAACATCCCTCCCCCAATAAATGCTTGTGGTCAAAGGACAAAGCAAATCTCCTAAAGGCAGTCTGGAAAAGCATATGATTCACACATAATGGAGGAACGTCACAGAGCCCACTTGGGAGTTTGCTTTCTAGGTACAGTGCCAGAGAGTCACCCTGGAACTTGAGTGGTTGAATTAGGGAAGGCAACTGGCAGTCCTGAACCAAGGTGATGTTATCAAGAGACTCGATTTGCAGCATGTTTCCATAGCACCTATCACTGAATGCTCTTACAGCACTTTCCAGGAATTTAAACCTCATGTCTACCCTGCAAGGTAGACATCAATATCTCCATTTTACAGACAAGAGTCCAGAGTAAATGGCTTTTCCAAGACCAGTCCTCTGCTCCTGCTATAAAAACACTTCCGCCAAATTAATAGGAAGGGAAAAGAAGCACTTGCCTTTGGTTTGAAGCCTAGAATTCTGTTGAGCTTGACGACAACACATGGTTTTCCATCTTTGTATCCATAGCTGGAATCAAGCATTCCGGAGCAGTTTCCCAGCCAATCACGTCTGAACCTGCAGACTTTCTTCTGACCTTGGTCATTATTAAATGGTCCTCGGTTTATGTAGTCGCCAGGTTCATCTGGGGGGGGGGGAGGGAGGAGAAGAGGCAAAACCAAAACACTTACATGCAGCATGAACTCACACTTGAAAGCTTTGAAAAGAAAAGCAAAAAACTCCTGTGAGCATTTCCCTGGGATTGGAATCTTTTTTTTCAGGTCTAGTAGTAATCAAAACAGACAGACACCACCTTCTACAGACTGACTTCATGGATCTGCACCAAGCCATTCAGTGACAAGTGCTCTACGGATCATGGCAAGTCGGTTTTCTACTGGGCCTTTTTCCTCGAATGGATGTGTGTGTGGGCTGCTGCTCTGATTTTTATTGGTGATGTTTTGGGTCACAGGAGAGATTCTGTCAGAAATGTATTCTCCCTCCAGCACACACCTCCCTTCAAGGCAACACTACATGCAGTCCATCATTATAGGTGCTTTGCTGAATTACATTATGAGAAAGCTGCCGCCCGCCCCCCTCCCCCCTACAAGAGTTGATATCACACTTAAATCAGAACAGGGAGATGCATTTAGAGCAATGCTTTAGGTGTTAGCTGAAGCCATCAGCTGCAGAAGGGAAGGAACGTTCTGACTCCGACCTGAGGGGGGAGGTGATCAGCAGGTGTAAACTGGCGTACCACTGAAGTCCATGGAACTATGTAGATTTACACCAGCTGCATGATCTGGCCCCAAAAATTAGACTGCAAAGGACACAAATGTGGATTCTGTAATTGAGATGTTCTGGTAGAGGGTGGGGATCTGAAACAACTTACAAGCATTTCAAGCACACTTTAAAAAACAAACCTACCCACCATCTGTTGATCATTTGACACCTGTTCCATTTATGTCAATGGAAAGACAATGACTGGAGTTTTAGGCCTTTGGACTTACAGAAACAAATACACGTGGGCTAGTGTTACTGGAAAGGCTACTTTCTATGCATTTGAGCCCAGTGATCTGGTTTGGGTCAAGACCCAGAGCAGCCAACACACTGTCTCTACTTAGGAGGAAAATATTCGGCTGGTGTCATGATTTAAATGGCTTCTGGTAACGACCTCTCCTCTGTCTGTTGGAGCAGAGGAGAAGGAGCAAGTCTAGAAGAAATGCTTTGAATACAGATTTCTCTTCAGACCATGTGGAGAAGAAAAGGCAGTCCAAAGAGATTCATCTGTAGTTCGTTATTACACCCCGGGGCCATGGAAAGGGACACTTCCCCACATTAACAGCTTTTGGAAACAAGGATTTGAATTCTTAACTTGATTTGGGCACATAGGGTGGAACAGTCAAATTTGCTCAGCACTGGCCTAACTCTGCTCCTACTGAAGACAAACAGTAAAACCCCTATTGTCTCTGATGGAAGCAGAGGAAGGCCAATGCTCAGTGTTTTTCACAATCCCACCAATAAGCTTGTCAGAGTTGGACAGCGAAGCTCACGGTCTAATGCATTCTACTTGGACAACAGGCAGTCATGAGCGACTTCAGGACCAGCTAATTAACCTGAGAGAGTCTAAAGCTAATCATCATGCTGTTAGTCACTAGGAAAGAGATGCTCTACAGGGCCTATACCAACACTATCAACAATGGCCAGTATTATCTTGATTCTTGATGGATGCAGTTAGGAGAGGGGTGGCTAATACTGCCTCCAGTTATGTGAAAACAGTCAGAACTTCATATCCAGGAGTCTGCTTACCAGG